ATGAATAGTCACCTATATATTTAAGAGTTGTGTTGCTTTGTTGAAGAGTCACATATGAAGAATTGTATTAATTGATGGAACCAACACACCTCTTTAACGTCTACTGGAACGGTCCCAACCCTCATCTATATATATATACGTAGAAGTTTTGAATCCATCATCCGGTATACAGTGAAAAGATAAGAGGGTTGAAGGTCGTCTCCTATATGATATAAGTAATGTTTTCGCTGTAATTCTCTTCAAACTGAGTTTCTATATTTAGGTATGTAATTATTAAATTTATGCATTGGAACCAGGTATTCTATATATTGTTGAATTTTCTTACCTGTGGTATCAGAGCCAACATGAACTCTGATGCATAAATTTGATTTTTTATTAACAATATATTGTTAATAGTATAGTATGAAATTTATATGCAATACATGTTTGAGATGCAAAAGGACACAGATATATATGTATATATGTATACTCTGTTTTTCATGTACACGCATATACACACACATTATGTATACGTAAAAGTATCAAATATTTTAATACAATTATATTATATTGCAAACATGTATACTCAAAATCTTCAAAATTTATATGCATGCAAAGATATATATATATATATATGAACCATTCTTTAGAAGAATGTTTTAACGTGGATGTGTTGGACAACAACATGAATGTCATTAATATTTATGGAACAATAATATTGGTGTTTTGGTTTTTGGGTGTTTATATCAGCCAAAATGAATATTTCTCATTCGTTAATATTTCATGTGAAGGGTTGTCTGTTAATCAGTCATGCATGATTGTTTATGACAGTTGAAGGTATATATATATATATATATATATATATATAAGATAATGCATAATAAGATAATATTTGTATAATAAGATAATGCATATGCATGTACTAACATTTGTATAATAAGATAATGCATATGCATGTACTAAAATATGATATATATATATATATATATATATATATATATATATATATATATATATATGAACCATTCTTTATAAGAATGTTTTAACGTGGATGTGTTGGACAACAACATGAATGTCATTAATATTTATGGAACAATAATATTGGTGTTTTGGTTTTTGGGTGTTTATATCAGCCAAAATGAATTACTCATTCGTTAATATTTCATGTGAAGGGTTGTCTGTTAATCAGTCATGCATGATTGTTTATGACAGTTGAAGGCTGTTAATTACATTCAACGTACCAGTGCATGCTTTCTGTTTGGGTTACAAATGTTCTCAAAAGTCATAACTTTTGGAGTTCAAATTACTAGTCATTTTTGTTGGTTCAAATCTACAAGACATGTTTGCTGGTTCAAATTACTAGTCATTTTGGGTATTCATGTCTATAAGAGTGTTACAGTTGAGAATGTGTTGAACAAGAACGTGGATATCATTTTGGAGTGTGCACGACAACAACGTTCCTTGAGTGTCATATATATCACGTTAGACAGCAACATAAATCTCTGACATTCATGTACTAATATTTCAGTTTTTGAGGCCGTGTTGGCTGTTGTAAATAAAACAGTACCACCCATACAACGTACCCTTGCATGTTTTAATTTGGGTCACAAATGGTCATTCAAGTCTTTTAAGTTTCAATTAAAGGTTTTGTCTTATGGAGTTGGAATGAATAGTCATATAAGTTTATTCGTAAAGACATGAGTTTCAATCAAAGATCGTGCCTTTTGTATTTGACTAATAGTCATGTTTCTCAATCAATAGTCATGCGTGGTGCATGCATCCAAACGTACGCTTTATGATCTCTGCACCAAGAATCATGTATATGGTATCCTAAATGTGTTATGCTATATTAGAGTGTGGGCGATTATTCTAAAATATATATATATATATATATATATATATATATATATATATATATATATATATATATTACATGATTGATATAAGATTCATAATTCAATTTTAGTCCCGAAATTCTTTATTTTATAGCATGTATAAATTTAGTGCTTTAATAATTTTCATAAATATGACATTTTTCTTAAATTATCATCATCACTAGTTGAAGTTTCATATCTTTGATGATATATATGGCACAGTCAATGATTAATTTAAAGTTTCATAGCATATAAGCTTATGATATTATACATGTTATTGAAATTAAATACATAATTATGCATGTGCCTTATGTTATAAATTGTTACAAATTGTTGCATAATATGTATATGTATATGTTTTGATTCATTCGAGAAAATTGAATCATATTTTCAATTCTAAGCACGAGTGTCATTAAGTTTGATTAAATATTTAGTAACCAAAGTGACACACTCTTGAAAATTTTAATGATATTTGTAGCTAGTGGCAAATTTATTATTTTGTTAAAGTTAAATGATTGTATTGGCGTTTAGTAAAGATAAGCAATGATCAAGCCTAAAGGTGGGCCATTGAGTTTGTCTAACTAAGCAAATTGAGGTAATTAGTGTATAAGACACAATTGATGACTCACTACACCCAAAAGAGTACAAATTGTTATTGTGTTTTCTATTATTAATTAGCTTCAAAAGGTGAAAATTATTTCACCAGTGGGAAACTAACATATGATAATTTGGCCCAAATGAAAGATTATTTCATGTTATGTTGATCCCATTCAGAGTTAATTATTTTGAGGCATTATTTAATTAATTCTGGAAAGTTTAGTTGACATTCATATCAATTAAACTGTAAATATGTGGCCTTAGTTATTCTCAAAGTCAGTGGGAGTAAAATTCATCTTTAGTGTTAAATGTGGATGACAGTGACATTATTGTACATGAGATTAAACAATTTAACTTCTTAAACATTTGAGATGAAGGTCTTGGTGACGCCTTTTATTGGCATTAAGTTTCACTGAAATGAATCTTGTGAAATTCTTGGATTGTCACAAAGAACTTACTTAGATAAAGTTCTGAAAGTATTTGACATATAACACTGTAGAGGTAGAATTGCACCAATTATAAAAGTTAGAGATTTGATAATCCAATTACCAAGAAAATATCTATAGTAATATTAGGTAAAAGGTATTTTCTACGCCTTTGGGAACCTAATGTATGCTCGGGTTTTGCATATGGTTAACTATAATATAGCAATTGCCATTGTAAAGCTAGGCAGATATGACATTGATCCTGGTTTGGATTCATAGTAAGCGGTAAATAAATTTATAAGGTATCTGCAAATAATTAAGAACCATATCTTTTTAAGAGTGGCGAAAACTGACTTTGCTGGTTGTCAAGACTGTATACAAATCTATTTCAAATATATTATGATAAGTGATAGAAGCGGAATTTATTTGCATGTTATAAGGTCACATTTTATACTTTATAAAATATCAGTTTTGGATTTCAGGTAAATAATTCTGCCACAGTCTTGCATTAAAGAAATAACAAGTTCAAGTTGGTTTAAAATATGACCGTTAATACCTTGTTGTGAAATAGAAGATTCAGAACTAGTTAGTGTCTGATTGAGCACATTGATACACAACAAAACATTGTTGATCCCATGACTAAGGGTTTACCGTTAATGTTGTACAGTAAGCATGCATATTTCTCTTTGACAACATTAATTTACTTAGTTAGTGAGTGGTTGTATTTGGCTCAGGTAAAGACAGTTTTATTTTGTGATCACATTTATTATCCTCATTTACTAGATATTTTTCATATTGGTGCACATGTGTATGGAAAATTGTGATTTAAGTGTCCTGTTTTGAGACACGGTGTGTCTTTATTGAGATACGGTAAGACAGATGCATTGCATAAATATTGTGTTAAATATACGCATATGCGGTATATATGTGACTTTGGAGTTGAGTTTGTTAGTATCAGTGACCATTGGTGTCTTATATCATTGATGATATAATAACGCTCTTGATCCCATATTAGTAGACTCGAATGTACTCCAAATTGATGGAAGATGTGTTTCTTATATATATGGATTAACTTCTGGAGTACACTCAATTATCATTTTGATCTTAACGTGATTAAAATTAATTATCGTTAGACTAAGTGGGAGAATGTAAGCAAAAAAATTAATAGTCTAACAATAATTAATTAATATTTAGTTATGCATATATTTGAATGAATAGTCACCTATATATTTAAGAGTTGTGTTGCTTTGTTGAAGAGTCACATATGAAGAGTTGTGTTGGTTGATGGAACCAATACAAGTCTTAACGTCTACTGGAACAATCCCAACCCTCATCTACATATATACGTAGAAATCAAGATTCCATCATCCGGTATATAGTGAAAAGATAAGAGGGTTGAAGGTCATCTCCTATATAATATAAATAATGTTTCCGTTGTAATTCTTTTCAAATTGAGTTTCTATATTTAGGTATGTCTTTATTAGATTTATGTATTGGAACCATGTATTCTATATATTGTTGAATTTTCTTACAGAAAAAATAGATGTAATATTCACTATATAGAAAATTAGGTGTATTGTGTATAAAAACAATGGCAACAACACTACATCATGCCAGATTTCAGATCTCATTTCAACTATTTAAATAAGAAATTATTAGATAGTCTTAATTCATTGACACTTGGTGAACCAGTTAAATCCAAATTTTTGGATTGAGAAAATGGCCCCACAAAAGTCAATTAATATATTACAACGAAATCTCGACAATGATCTATATTAAATTGGTCCACCACGTCTCAAATGGATAAGTATTATCTAAAAATTTCTCTAACTTCATACCCGCAAAAGGCAGTTCCAACTTTATTTAGAACCAAAATGGGCCATTCTACAATTTTCAAGACTGCTGAACCTCACAAAAAAAATAAAAAACAAAAAAACTCAACCCTACATGGGCAATTCAGCACTAAGTCCACGTTTGTTTAGAACCAAGATGGGCTCATGCTTTTGTGAAAGCCATTCCAATTAGATAACACCACTTTTTAGATGCTCTCTGCTTCTCCAAACACTCTTCTATACACAGATGAGCCCAACTTGGTTTTAAATAAACCTGGGCTGGTATGGTTGGACAAAAAGAAAAGCCCATTTCTTTAAACCAACCCCAAATCGCAACTGATTTGGCTTCTTCTCTGTCCTCTCCTCGACTCTCTCGCAGCAAGTCAAGCTCAGTAGCTCACACAAACTCTCTCTCTCTCTCCCTCTCCACGGTGATTCATTGACGACAATTGGGTGAGTTTTCTTGCACATTTGATGTTATACGCACACAGACACGAAAAATGTGTGTTTTCTTGATAATTCTTTTGTATGCATATACATGATATATCCATATGTGTATACACATATTTCGACGGCTCCACATATTTGATAAATCGGACCTAAGGACGTATATCTTCCAAACTCTAGTTATATCGATCTTCAAAGCATATGTATTGATCCTGTCTTTTTATCAAAAAGTAGCCTGTCAATTGATCAATAGATTAATTGCAAGTTAGACTAGGTTTGAGGGAATCAAGTGAATAAATACTTCACACACAGAAAAACACACACACATATAGGAAGGACTTCAAAATTGATGGTAGGGGTGGTAAAGACGTTCAAATTTGGAGGGCTTTTTGGTTCTCATAGTGATCAGGCCAAGATAGGGTAGGAGACCTTGGTAGACCACCTCTTTGTCGTTTCTATGGTTGTATTGATATAGATATGGATATTTGTTTTTTTCTTACATTTCCTTAGAACCTGGTGTGTGAATGCACATGAGTTGTCCTACGCTTTTAGCAATATGTATATATATTTTTAAATTTTATTTTATTTATTCAATTGATGCTTGGTACTGCTCTGGCTTTGGTTGATTTCAATTTGCTTATGATTTAAAGCTTAGGATTTTCAGCTTATGGATTTCAGATTCTTTAATCCTTTTATTTTTTGTTGCAGTTGGGAAATTTTAGTTTGTATATATTTGTCTGGAGTATTAGTATGGCTGGCACAGCATGTTTTATGATTGTTAGTAGGAATGACATTCCCATATATGAAGCTGAAGTCGGCGCTGCAATCAAAGTATGATTTCTTCACCAGTTCTACTTTCTAACATTGATTATGACTAAAATTTTATATTTTTTCCTTTTTGTTTGGAAATGCAAAATCTGAATAGGAATCCAGGGTTTCATTTGTTTAACTTGTGTTCTAGACCGTCTTGCATGGAAATCTGTTTCTATATTGAAATAGGCCTAGTTATTTTCTTGATTATTACTAGCTTGTGAAGTGCATGCTTTACCATATCTACATAGCAGTCTTGATTTAGATTTCCATGAGCATGTATTACCTCACCAGTATGTAACTTGATCCTCTAAATCACACTGGTTAGAAGACTCAGAAGTTTAATGTAAAATCATATCCCCATCCGATCATGAAGCTAACATTGGCTAGAAGATGAACATTGACATATGTGAGGCAAACATCTGTCGAATGGCTTGCTAAGCATAGTTATTGGACTTCATATGTGAAGGACCTCCTATTGACATCTTTTATACCAAAAGCATTGTGATACTCATCATTATCTAACTTGTTAGCTTACAAGTTGTTAGCTTACAAGAGTTTTAGTTTGGATTGCCTTCTTGAGATGAAGATGCATTCCAAAACTGAGAGGGATGAAGTAATAAGAAAAGCTATTAAAAGAATAGAAATAATAGGTGACATAACTTGTAATAGAAAAGAGTTAAATACGAGAGTCCATGTGGCCAACCTCATTCAATGTAGAACAATAGAATGGGGTGATAATGATGTTATTGGCTTATTGTCTTGCAAATGGGAACCCTTTAATTTATTTACATTTTTTTGCCATCCAAACTTTCCAGTGTTCCACAGGGGCCTCTAAGCCTAAGCAACTTAGACAGTCGACTAAGGCCCCCAACTGAAAAACATCCTCTCGAGGTGGGCCCCACACATCAATCACACTATATAATATATGCATTATTCCATTTAATCCATCCTGCCTTTTTTCTACGATTAACATTATCTCCAATTTCTCCTTCATTATGAATAAGTGAGCCTAAATAACGAAATTGTTCACTCTTTTGTACCTTTTGATCCTCAATCTTCATTACATCCCCATTTGTATTTGTATATTTACTAAAGTTACATTCCACATATTCATTTTTATTTCTACTTATCTTAAATCCTTGGAATTCTAGAACTTCTCTCCAAACCACCAATTTGGAACTAACTCTTTCTCTAGTAAACATGTCTAGTAAAAATGTGAATCTAGATATGAAAAAGTTAAAAAAGGAGAGACTAATAGAAAGATTGAAAATGGATTATATATATCATCTATTAAAAGGAAATAATTAAAATCCTTGAATACAAAATTTTAACTAGCAATTTTGCATCTCAAAAGGTAAGTGAATGATTACTGATTAAAAATTACTGTTATGATTTTGTATTAATAAATTAAATATCAAAAGGCCACACTTGGAACTTTACCTTAGGCCTCAAATTGCACTAAGCGGGCCCTGGTTTCCCCTCAATATTGTCAAGTCGTGGTCATATTCTCACTTAACTTACTACAAAGAATGGTGAATATATTATTAATTATTCTCCAAGCCGAGGCCCCACAGAATTACCAAAGTATTAATATGCCATAGCATTATTTTTGAACCAAAATCCCAATGGGATTGAATATTTCATATTAAATTTTGAATGATTTTTTAAGTTATGCCAACAGTATGCCTATTTGATTTCATGGTCAGTATTTGCCAGTATATCATAGAATACCAGTAGCATCTCTTAAGTTGTCTTATTAATCCTTTCCATTTTCTATATGAACATCTCAAGAAAGTTCCTTACCGGGAAGGAAAAAATAATAATAATAAATCTCAAGAAAGCTATTTGTAGTTTCTAACACCCTTGGACAAATATTACAGAAAGAAGATGCTGCACATCAACACCAGTTCATATTACATGCAGCGTTGGATATTGTCCAGGACCTTGCATGGACAACAAGTGCCATGTAAGACTCCAAAACTTTCTCTCTTGCTCCCCCCACCCCACCCCCTTTCCCCCATTGTATATAAACCAGTAAGCGAGCATGGTCAAATAGTTCTTGGGCTGTAGCCTGTAATAAATACTTCTGTCATCATGGTTTCTTTCTTTGTCTTACACATTTAATATTTCCTATTCTTTATCCAGGTTCTTGAAAGCAATTGACAGATTCAATGATATGGTGGTATCAGTATATGTTACTGCAGGTCATATCCTACACATGTACAATTTGAAATTGTTAAAAACAATTAAAAAATTTATATCGTATGTTAAGCCAAGTATAATCATTTATTTGGAAATAGCACATCTTAATCTGAAATAATTGAGATTTAAAGTTATCTAGTTATTTGCGATAATAATATATTATATCTAAGGGCAAAGAACAAAATGCTGACTGGTCATTTACCTTAACTTTTCCCTCTTTTTTCCTTCTATTTCTTTTTTATCTAGCCAAATTGATCTTTAAAATCAGTGTGATCCCAATAACCTTATATTTTTCTTGTTGTGAGTATTATATACGGTATGCTTGGAAAATTGCAGAGTTTCTTTTGATATGAGATTTGACTGAAATAAAATTTAGCTATAGAAAATCAGGCGAGCTCCTACTATATTCCTATGATTCTATGCATTCTCTCTCTCTCTCTCTCTCCGCGCTGGTTGTGCCTTCTACATTTCTTTTTCTTTTCCCTCCTAGCATTTTATTTTGATAGAATCATGTTTCTATTGTGATAAAACCCTGCATGTGTTTTACTTCGTTAAATAGGCTTTTCAGAGAAGATTTTTGGTTGGCCTGATTCTATCTCTGTTTGTTAAGTTTTAAAACCAGAACAGTTCAAAAGAACTGATGTTTCTTTTAGTTGTAAATATCCCTTGTATTGATCTGCGTGTGCCATTCCAAATCATCATTAACGAGTTATTACTTATTAGGTACCAATCACTTTCTTTCAGCTTTTAGATATGGGTAAAGAGTGTTGTTTATAACCAGTCCCCACTGTTATAATGGAGATTTTATTATTATTATTATTATTATTATTATTATTATTTTATTTTTTTTATTTTTTTTGTCCAACACTTTAATTACGTTAATTGATGCTCCAGACTTCTCAACCTTTCGAAGTTGGGGACTCTTATGCTCCTCTAGCTGAATTTGCTTCCTTTGCTGCTACTACTTCATGGTTACAAGGAATAATTAACCAAAGTTGTTTTCTATTTTATTTTCTTTTAAAGTTTTGGATAAACATGTAATTTGTTTCACTTTAAAGAGGTTTATTAAATTGGTGATACCTTATATGTATATACTGATAACTATAGATTTGAAGAACTTACTTTCTGTTATGGAACTTAATGGGGAAAAATCACATAACCCCCCTCTACTATCATTTTCGTTCAAAAAACCCCCAACTAAAATTAAAAACCCCCCTCAACTAAAGAAATGCTATCAAGTTACCACATACGGTGACTGACCCGTTTATTAGGTTGTGAAATGACAAAATTAACCTTATGATTTAATATTAATTTAAAACTGAAATTATTCTTGTGATTACGAAAATACCCTTTATAAGTTGTTTTTCTTCTCCGGCGACATCTCCAGCCAAATTCCGGCTACCGTCGGCGACCTCCCCTATCTCGAAACCTTAATCTTCCGCAAACTCCCCCCTCTCTCTCTCTACATACATATATATATATGCATGTATGTATCTCTCTCTATATATAAAACATATAATGCATTTGTTCTTTCAAATCAATAGGTTGTTTAGCAATGGACTCATTCTTGCTCTCATAGTTGCGGTGATTTTAAATTTTTAGGGTTTTGTTCATTTGTCATTTGGATATCAAAATCAGATTTTGAGATACGCTTTTCCTGTTGTTTTACTCTACTTTTTTTCCCTTCGATTCAGCAGCTTGTTCAGCGCGGTCTTCTGCTTTGATGTGCTTAAATGAGTTCTAATTTGATCATCTTCTACTTCTAGGGTTTATTCAATGTGTATTGAGTTATGATTTGAAGTCTTGAAAGCTACTAAATACGCCTGGGAAATGCATTTGTTCTGTTTATATACATAAAACATCAAAATATGTGTGGTTTTGGGTGAGATGATGCTTGTAGCAATCCCTTAAGATGAATCATGTGTGTGTTTGTGTGTGGAAGGTATAGTATAGTATCACTTCATAGCTTCAATTTAGCATTGCATTGATGTAGTACTGTGATTCATCTTATAGTACTTTTCTATGAACTATCACATCTGATCTTCAAATCTGTACCCTAGCTTTATTACTTTATTTTCCTTAACCAATGGCCTCGTACATACGCGATTGATGCTGCTCCATGACTCTCGTAATGATGATGGAATCAAAAGCTTCTTCCAAGAGGTCCATGAGCTATATATAAAGGTAATGTTTCTATATATATATATTTTTAATTATTTTTCCCTATATATAATTTATATTCTGATAGCAAGATTTGATTCTTTTGACATTGCTGGATTAATTTTTCTGATTTACCTTGTGAAATTATACAATATTTCTTATATATATCTTCATGAACAATCTTTAAAATTTATTATAGAACCACGATGGTGGTACTAAAATTGGTAATCTAATTGGATGAACAACCTTTGTATGATTTTATTTATTTATTATTATTAATATATTTTTAAGGGGTTTCGGCACAGTAAAAGTAAAAGTAGTTAAAAATTTGAATTTATGTGACCCTTTAATTAAAAGGATCTCTAAGATCAGCTACCATTTGTGATGCTAAATGCTATGTAAATTACGAGACATGTTTGAGATATGTACACAGCCAATTGAAGATGCTTCGATGGATGAGAGGTAAAACGAGAAAGATTTATAATGAGAATGCTTTCACAAGAAGTTAGAGGTGGCATTCAGACAAGATGAGGGGAAGTAGTTAAAGATGGTTCAATCATATATGAATGCACTGGTAAGGAGCATTGGTACGGTTAAGCTGGTGGAAGTTTGGAACAAAAAGAAGAGCTGGATGCAAAAGTGTCAAGGTTGTAAGAAACTGACACAGTGCGACATTTTGTTCAAGAGAATTGTAGAAAACTTGTTTGCCCATTCTCTAATAATTTAAGGCTCTTTTGGGATCTCCAAAAGAATTAAGGGATTGAACAAAAATTCTTTAATGTTCTGTGAAATAGAATTCTTTCTAAAACACTTTAAAGCAAATTATCCTCCTTTTATGCCCTCTGGTAATTGGAGCTTTTATCTTATGATTTTTGCTATACCATCTGTGCATCGTTGTTGATTCTTCTTTCAGTTTAAAATCATATTGATTTTATATTTCTCACTTTTGTAGAACTTCATGATTACAATTTATTCTGTTATATGTTCAATTGTACCGGGTTGCACCATATACCAAGGTTCAAGATTTCTACTTCATCTCCCTGCCTCTATAGAAAAAGAAAGGGGGGGGGGGGGGGGGGGGGGGGGGGCGGGCTGGCTAGTCTTTTCCTATCATCCTCACATGTTGACTTGACCACATATTCTCATACGGTTATGTTGTTGCTGGCTTGATGCTTTATTTGCTGCACATTTTAGTATCAATTCCTCTTTTCAGTTTGATGAGAGTTCAATAACTTTATGATGGCTATGCAGACAGCTAGTTGAATCCTGAAAACAAAATAGAGTTAATTTGGAAGATCATTTAATTGACTTGATCTGACTTGATCTGAATGGTCCACAAGGCACCAGGGTTTGTTTTGTTCTAAAATATGAAAATTATCCTAAGCTCTTTTGCCTTCAACCAGAAAAAACTGCCTTAACAATGTGGGAAGTCACACAAAAAACTAATTCTTGTGGAAAAATAAACAAAGAATAGTTGTCATCCCGTACTACCACTGTTTCTGATATTAGCCTAAACTGTAGTCCTTTACTGACATATTCAAACTGTTGGAAATCTGTAGATTCTTCTCAATCCCCTCTACTTGCCTGGTTCTCGCATTACGTCATCTCATTTTGATACAAAAGTTCGAGCCCTTGCAAGAAAGTATCTGTAAGGCCATTTCTCACCTCCTAGGGTAAGCACTTGCTAGGGAGATGCTATGACGGTACAAGGTTCGGAGTTCTCCAAATTTTCATTCAATGCCCTTTTGAGTTGATCTTCAACTGCTTAGTTTTTTGTTCTTTTTTTGTCAATGCATATGATGACAGTTTGCCTGCTGATGACTTGTCTTTGTTGTCAAATATTAAGCTTGTACTTGTAAAGCTCTACTTGGCCATTTTAATGTCATATTCAGTTTTATTCAATGAAAGAATATACCTTGGAAGGCTCTGGATGTTAATAATTTGCCTAAATTATTTCTCATTGTTTTCGCTTAGTATACACAGGTATATAAATATTTGGTGGCGTATTTGTACATGTTAAGTAATTTGCTGTTAACTATTCTAAGTTGAACTGGATGCGCTACTCAGTGGGAAGTTGTTTGATGATTGAAATTATGTAGTGGCTTGAAATCAAGAGGATAGAATGGTTTGGACCATTCTGTAGTTCACATCACGCTCTGCATCTTTAACAAATCTAGGGTTGAAATTGTGAGTGGGGACCAAGTCTTGGCATGAAACTCCATCACTCAAACGTGTATTGCACGCTTGAAGGCTTTGAAATTGAATTGTGGGCTTGGGATGGATGGGTTCATTTGTTTTGTGGTCCCAGTTGTTGATCAAGATTTCAAGATTGATGGGTTGGTTCGATGAACAACGTGAAGGGATGGGAGTTTTAGGGTGCATTTTTAACAAAAGTCATCCATATAGCAAGTAGGCTTTATCTTAAACATCAATTATTGGGTTACAATAAATATTCAAAGATCAGTGGTTCTGTGTTGGGACCTAACACGTGAACCCACAACGTGATTGAAGGCAACAATGCATGCATTTGAACCCTATTCCCTTTTTTCAACAGACACATCACATATTTTGTACTCTCTATGTTTTTTTTTTCTAAAAAAAGTTAACGATGCACTGTTTATCTTTCAAATTACTCTCACTCCATTGTGGTTTTTCTTATTTTTCACACGGTATTTGGCTTTAAATTTAAGAGAGAATTAAGTTATGTTTATTTTTTTATGCGAAAATTGTAAAAAATTTTAGTGTGAGAATATGAGGAATGCGAATGTTGATATCTCAATGTCATTGAACACCATCACCATTTTTTTTGTAGGCTTCAAATTTTAATGTAGATTTCTAAAATACACTGTAGATCATGGAAGAGGGAGAGGCTATTATGAACATGTTATGTTATATGGGAACAGGTGAATGAAACACGAACTTGGAGAAGAGGACGTTTTCTCTTTAAAAAGGGTTTAAGCTTTAAAATGTGTTGAACAATAACAATATTTTTTTATGTCTTGAGAGTCTGACTAGGACAAAAAAGCATAACAAAAGAACTCTTGCTAAGAAAATAGAATGAACAACTAATGTGCTTTCTGGTCTTCCCTCCGATTTTTCTCGGGAAGAGGACTGGATTTTGAAACATCATCGTCAACTATCCATTAAAAACCGATTCAATGCCCATATCCTTGACCTTTAAGGAAGTAAGGAACCCTATGCCCCCTTCAATGGTGTTTTGTTCCATAATCACACATTGTAAATGGTACAAATGTGGTTGTTCTTTGTAGGTGTGACATTAGTTGTAAGTGTTTGATTATACATTATATAAAAATATTTTCAAGTGTGGCCAAAAAATATTTTTAACTAACAATATTTAAAATGAACACATATTATTTAATAATACTGATCCAACTGTATCGTTCCATACATCTGTTGTTTCTCCTTTTTAGGGAGAAAAAGAGAAATTCATGTTTCAAAAGATAGCTAAAACAACAATATACACATAAATTACATCATCAAATCACAAAAACATCTCTAAAACGAACAACATGAAAACAGCAAAAATAAAAACAAATAGTAAAAAACATTCTATGTGTTTCTTTGTTCATGGTTTCAAAGTTCTTAGACCTCATTCCAATTGAAATAAACTAAATTATAATCAAACTAGCAAACATGTACCATCAAAATAAGGCATGATCACCGGAATATCCGACCTCCGGCACCAATAAACACCACCAGCGGCAATGAAAACACATTGAAATTTTCAATTTTCATGTTCTGCGCTTAGCGGACTTTGCTCGACGGCGAGGCTTTTCTGCTTTTCCGAAAGCACTGCAAATCCCACATGCAGAAACCTTTGGGGACGACGGCTCTATGGCCGGAGAGACCCTGCCGGTGCGGAACCCGCGTCCTCCTCCTCCGTTGGATCGGCTCCGATCTAGTGTGTTGATTGATCGGACGGCTCTGGGAGGCTTGGCCTCTTTGAGCTGTTGTTGTTGTTCATGATTGTTGTTGTTGTCTTTTTTGTGGTTTGTTTCATCCAATATTTCAGCTGACTGCAGAAACTTGTCATCCCATATGAGACCTGATGAGCCTTGTCTCCTGAATGAAACTGAGGATCTCTGTAACCCTGCCATCACCTTCTCTCTTTTTGCTGAATGGTTGAATCTTTATATGTGTGTGTGTGTGTGTCTTTGTAATATAAAGAGAAAACTCTGGAAGATACGGGTTGGTTAAAAGAGATCACATATATGATAAATTCATAATATGATGGCAACTAAGTCAAGTTCTTTATTTTTTTATTATTGTTATTTTTATTAAAAATGACAATGATTGAGATAGTATTTCCTTCCAAATATTTTCAAGTTCTCACCATTATAGACGTGTTTCATTATCACTTTTGTTTGGATTTATATATATATATAAATGTAACATTATGAGTGGTTGGGCAAACATATGTTATGATAATAACGTTTGTATAATGACTCAGATATATTTAGAGACAAAAACTAATCAAGATAATACACACCCTATATAAAAATTGCATTTTGCGAATTTCAAAATTGCTAATATTTTATTATCTAATTAGATTTTTTAGTATTAAATATAGTTTTGTGTATACTATACACAATTTGTAAATACATTATTTTATTATTTAGTAATTAAGATTTTTTTAGTATTAAATATAGTTGTGTCACACAATTTGTATATATATTTTACATTGTTCGTTTATTTGTAGGGGGCTTGATAAATTGCGTTTCACTCTTGAAAAGAAACGGTATTGATATCCTTAATTTATAATTAATTATAAGAGAATCAAGTATAAATAATATTTGTGTAATTTAAGATAAAAAAATACACTATAACCGGATTTATGAAAAGAAAAAGTGTGAACTCCTACTTATATTGAAGTCTTTGGTAGTACTAAGACTTTGGTGGACCTTTTTCACACTTATCCCAGGGATCCATATAAATTAATTTTCTTAGGAGCATCATGAAATTTTAAAGAATGCATAATTAATTATGTTTTGAATATATATATATATATATATATATATATATATATATTGAGAGAGAGACAGAGAGAGAGCAAGAGGAAGTTTAATATTTATCCAACTTGCACCCTCTTGATTGATGCAAAACTTGTGACTATCAATCCCAATTCAGTTGATCTACAAGTTCTACAATGCTCAAGACAAGCAATTCATTACTATGTGACCATCCTAAGTTGCAGAACAAGCTTCTACATTTCTTTCATTTATGCTGCAAATGAAGCCTCAGAGAGATTGAGCCTTTGGGAAGATATAATACAGCGCTCCAAAACCTTTTCATCTTATCCTTGGATCTTTGGAGGTGACTTTAACATCATTAGGTCTGCATCTGAGAATTACGGGGGCTCAGGAAAAACTACTACTGCAATGCTTGACTTCAGAAGATGCCTTCACAGTTTAAACCTTAAGGATTTGAATTTCTCTGGAATCCTCCACTCATGGACAAATAAGAGCTCTGGTGTGGCAAACATATCCAAGAAATTGGATAGAGTTCTGATAAATGACAGTTGGAATCAATCATTCCCTCTTTCACATTGCAATTTCTTACCACCACGAGCCTCAAACCACAATTCCATGATCATAAGCCTTGGGAATCAACAACCACAAAGAAAGGTTCCATTCAGATTTTTCAACTGCTGGAGTTACTCAGATGACTTCCTATCAATTGTCCAATCCATTTGGAGTATGCATATTGAAGGCTTCGAAATGTTCCAGGTTGTGCCCAAACTAAAAAAGCTCAAACAGCCACTGAGGATGAAATTCTCAAGAATTTTCACTTCACTACAACATAATATTGCTTTGGCAAAGACAGCCTTGTCCAACTGCCAACTTGACCTTGATGGCACCCCTAATGATCCCTTACTTAGAGCAAAAGAAAAGAGCTACTATCAGCCTATACAAGCCTTGCAGCCACAGAGGAACAAACTTTTAGACAGAAGTTTAGGATTCAGTGGTTAAAAGATGGGGATTCAAACACCCTTTTTTTTCTACAAACCCATAGCTTCAAGGTTCAATAGGAACAATATTTCTTCCATCACAGCATCCAATGTAGTACTGCTGGACACAGAATCTGCAATCAAGAAGGAATTTGTCACTCATTTTCATTCCTTGCTTGGTAAGAATCCTCATCCATATCCAGGTATTGATTCACTCTCACCATTCATTGACCAAACACTTCCATCATCATTCCACCACTCCCTTTGTTGTAATCAAATGAAGAAATCTACCACTGCATGATGTCACTAAATAATGACAAAGCCCCTGGACCTGATGGATATAATGCTTTCTTCTTTAAAAAAGCTTGGCCAATCATTGGCAATGATGTTACAATTGCAATCAAAAATTTTTCACTTCAGGGAAATTGCTTAAAGAGGTTAATTCCACTTATATATCCTTGGTCTCCAAAGAAAATCAACCCCTAGATGTGCCCTAAAAATTGATTTGAGGAAAACTTTTGATTCTATATCATGGGATCTCCTCTTTGACACCCTCAAACTCTTAGGTTACCCCTAACCCTTCATTGGTTGGATCAAAACCTATGTCACATCTCCATCATTCACATTATCCATCAATGGTGAATTCAGTGGATATTTCAGAAGCATCAAGGGTTTGAGACAAGGGACCCCCTCTTTCCCTTTCTGTTTGCTATTATCATGCAGGTTTTCTCCTCAGTCATCAATAAACTCACCTTGGGAAGGCCATTTAAGCACCACTGGAGGTGCAAGAAGCTGAAGTTGACACATTTAATCTTTGCTGATGATCTTATGCTATTCTCACATGCAAGTCTACCATCATTAATGATCCTCAAGGAAGCCATTGGCACATTTTCCTCACTGTCTGGACTCCAAGTCAACCACAACAAGAGCCAAGTATTCACCTCTGGCATTGATCCACATATAGAAGCTAACATCCTTTCTTTGCTTGGCTTTAAAAAAGGTTCTCTGCCAGTGAGATACTTAGGAGTGCCACTAGTTACATCCATGTTGAGAGCAGTTGATTGCAAATGCCTCATTGACAAGATCATTTCAAGAATTACACATTGGACTAGCAGAGATTTGTCTTTTTCAGGTAGACTTTAGTTGATCAGAGCAATACTTTTCTCCACACAAACCTTTTGGAACTCCAAATATATTCTACTAGTGAGCATTATCAATGAGATGGATAGCATCTTCAAGACATTTCTTTGGTCTGGTCCATCACTAAAAAAGTCAGGAGCTAAGGTTAACTGGGAAACTTGTTGTCTTCTAAAAAGAGCAGGAGGCTAGGGATTTCCTAACCTTCTATCTTGGAATGAGGTAGCCATCATGAAACACTTTTAGCATATAATTAGCTCTAAAGACATGTTGTGGGTAAAGTGGATCAACACCTACCTCTTGAAAGGCAGAAATATTTAGGAAGTAAAAATCCCTTGCCAGTGTTCTTGGACTTGGAGAAGGCTTTTAAACCTTAGAACCATTATTCAGCCTCTTGTCAAGGTTGAAATTGGAAATGGGATTAACTCTAACTTTTGGTTTGATAATTGGAGCAGCCTTAGTACTTTGTATCAACTTGTGTCCCCCTAACAGATAATCAGTTCAAACCATGACAGTAAAACCCTGCTATCTACTTTCATTGTCAATTCACAGTGGCAATTTCCAAACACCATTACCACACTTATACATCAACTACTCCCAATTGCTAACCTCCCAAACCCAAATCCACACAAACAAGGCAAGGTTTTATAGTGCCCATCAACTGCAAGCAAATTCTCTAATTTCTCAAACCTTGAAACACCTAAACCATCACTTACCTTCCTTAACATGGAGTCACCTAGTATGGACCAAGCCATCAATTCCAAAACACTCATTCACATTGTGGTTGGCCATCCAAAACCGCCTCCCAACCTTGAACAGAAGATGCACTTCCCACATCAATGCCACACTATGTGCCCTCTGCAACAAAGAATTGAAAACCGATGACAACTTATTTTTCAAGTGCGAGTTCGTCAAACCTTTGTGGACATTTCTACAAATAAGATGTGGGTTTCACATTCATCCTTCCTTATGGTCTAACCTGATTAATTGGGCATCACACCATTGGAGAAGAAGCTCGGGTTCTACAGTGTCACAGCCTCAAAACTGGGTCTGGCATCACTTGTTTATAGCATCTGGAATGAGAGCAACAGAAGAATTTTCAAAAAAAAGTATCTTCATGCAAACTTAATTCTACATCAAGCTCTGGAACCAGTTCGATGGAAATTGAACTCCATGCAAACAATTGACTCTTCGACCCCTAGCAGAGTCACAGAAGAATGGGAGCTTCCATCTTTCGCCCTTACTGCAAGACCACTGGCGAAACCACCGGACATTAATGTGGGAGTTTGAGGAGATCTTCTCCATGAGCCTCGCAGCAGAGTTTGCCTCCAACGGTCTTCTTGTCTTTTGGTTGGGCTTCTTTGATTGGGACTTAGGTTTTTTTCAATTATATGGGCTGTAATGTTTGACAGTTATGTTTGTATTTGGGCCGCATTGGTTGGCATTGGGCTAGCCTTTGTTTTGGCTGTTTTATATATAAAATCTGTTTCAAAAAAAAAAAAAAATCTTGTGACATCAACCTCCCAATGGTATGTTAGTTTGATTTGGATTTTTTCATTAGTTTTCTCTTTAACATCTCTAATTCAAAGATTAACTTATCATCACAATCACTTTTGTTAAGATTTTGTAACCTATGACTATGCCATCTTATGACCTTGTTTTGAATGTTTTGAAAACTTAATAGAGAGAATTCATTTTCATGTTGAATCGTATTTTGATAATAATTTTTCGTTTTTGCAAGTAAGTAATCTTCATTATTTGTAAATTAGTGTGTAGAAGATTTTTTTGAAGAGATTTTAAATATTTTACTATTATTTTTATTAAATCAAACCCAAAATATTAATTCGATATTTATTTATTTCACTATTACAATTATAGGATAGCCTTTCTAATAGATTAGATAGTCAATTTCTTTCAATTCTATTTGCTAACAAATTTATGCATAACATTTCACTGTAACCGATGACATTTTCATTGTTGGACTAAAGCGATATATGTGAATTCTCAATTTTCATTTTGTGAAAAATAAGAGATATTATTAGAAATAATATGATATGCGATCTAACTTTAAAAAATAGAATCAGAAGCATTTTCTAAATAATCACTGAATGAATGATTGAAAACAATTTTGAGACATTGATATATATTTTTTAACAATTTTGAGACTTGATATATATTTTTTAACGTTACTCTAGCTTTCATATTTATAACTTGAGAAATGCCCTTCCAGAATGATTAATCTCTTTATCGAAATATATAAACATCTCAGTAAAGTTATTTATTTTTTATTATTTTAAGAATGACACATCTGTTTTTACAGAATGATTACATCTTTTCTAGAAGCATATAAACCTTCCAGTAAATTTTTTTTTAGGACACAACTTTCAAATTTAAATATATAACTTTTGGAAAATTAATTTGAAACAATATTTATATAATTTCAATACATGCCAGTGGCTAAAACCTTTCATTATAATAAATGCATATGGTTTATTAAGGCATTGATAGATTTAAGATTAAAACTAATTTATTTCTTAACAGAAATAAGGAACAATTACAAATAATATTGTTTCTAATTTTTAGAATCGAAGACTAAACTCACCAATGGATACTAGCCATGCTATAAACTCTCCTTTTCCAAATGCAGGTTGAGTGTTGGAGTTTTAAAGGGACAAAATGAAAAATAAAAAATAAAAAGTTATTACTCTAAAATTCTACTATGAAAAAGGAAATAATAGATTTGAATTGTCAAGTGAAGGAAGGGATCATTGTTTGGTGTAATAGTTAAAAGTAAGACACAATTTAAATAACGAGTTTGGAGTTTGAGTTTGAAGGTGGGCCAAATGCATGTGATAACTATCAAAGAGAGAATTGAAATTCATGTTCTTTCAAACACGGCAACAACGTCTTTAATTTCTCACCGAAGGTAGTCAATGATTTGGAAATTTTGGGAGCGAAAATTGGGCCCCGAGGCCCCAAAATCATTACTATCCATTCATTATTGGGCAATTTTTTTTTTTTTTTTTGACTTGGTAAGTAAATAGAAGTCAATAGACATAATGAAGCAGCAAATTTGTTAATGTCAATGTTATTGTCATCACATCATCAGCATCATTATAAATTCATAATGGCGTATAGATAAATGATAAGTATTGAATGGCTTGTCAAATAAAGGCCTACAGGTTTTGGATAAATATGAATCTATTATCTTATAATCATACCATGGCCCCCAAGCTCAAAACAAGTTTAAATTATATTTGAATCAATTGATCATTTGTGGGGTTGGGACCATTACACCTATCTGCCACTAAGATGAGATCACCAATTTTGATCATAGCTCATAAATAATAATAATAATAATAATTCATTGTTTGCTTTAAAAAGCAAAAGAACAAAAATGCAAACTCTTTGTGTATGAAATGCCTTTTAGGTTTGAGACATTCTGCCACAAGCGTTTTTATTATTATTATTATTATTATTATTATTTGGATTAAGAGAAAAGGCCTTACTCAAAATTATATATATAAAGGACTGAGGAACATGATCATGAGTAATTTCATCTGCAATTTCTTTCATATTTGTACCATCCATAGGACATTGCAACTTTAATCATGCTATAAGAGACCAGCATGGTGTTTGGAGGATTATGGACCACAATGAGATCCAACAAAAATTTTGAATGACCATTTAAAATGTACTTAATTGGGGTTAACCCACACCATCTTAAATATCAATTGAAAGGTAAACCATGAACCCATTGGCCATTACAAATCGGTTGGGTTTAATTGAATGGAGTAGAAACGTGATTTTAAGGTTGATAATATTTCGAAAACAAAAGAATAAGCTGATATTGAATGAACTAAAGAATTTGCGATTGGTTCATTTTAAAGACGTTGAATTCAAAATGTGGTTGTTCTTATTAAATTAACTAGGATGTGTTTTATACTTGTTAACCAAAATTTTTACCATTGTCATCAAATAATGACTCACATGCACTTATTCACATCATTATCATCATTCTTGTCTTTATCTTGTACAAATGAAATTCTTGTCTTTATCTTGTACAAATGAAATCAGACACATGAATTCTCTTTTATCACACTCTTCTTCATTGAACAAAGAAGGCAAGTCCTGTGCAAGGGAAGTCTGGCATGGAAAGGATTACAAAAATGAAAGAACTCTATTTGTAAAGTAGGTTGTACATGGAAAGAATTGGAGGACAAACAATGCGAGTCCTACCATAATTATACCATCTTTTTGTGTATAAATAGAGGTTTAGACCTCCAATAAAATCATCAAGCATTATACGTTTTTCTCTAAGTATTATAATTGTTTGTTTTTGTGTGAGTTGTATTTTTCTTTTATTTATTTTAATAGAGAGAAAGTTTGCACTTACACTTTGGCGCCGTCTGTGGGAAGCATATAGAAATATACTCCCACTGTTGTTTCAAATCGTTTCTATTACTACAATCTGGAATGTCGAACGGAGAATCTGCAACGGCGGCTGATCAGCAGATGGAATTGATGCAAAAGATGCGAGAAGAATTCTTGCACCAATTTGAAACACTTCGTTAGGCGAACGAAGCCAACGTAGCCCTAATTTCATTGCTTCAACAGCAAAACGACACCCTTCAAACGGCTATGACTCAGTTGACACCATAGCCACCACCAGTTGATGTGGCCGTACCTCCTTGCAACCAAAACGCTCCTCAGGTTAACGAGCCTCAGGTCAATGGGGCGCGGCTTAGTGAAGCTTGGCCCAATGAAGTTCAGCAAGAGTAGAGGACAAGGACCGAGGTGGTTGCTTCGGACATCGTCCTCGTCGCACGCAGGACGAACAGGTCGAGTCCAGCCATAAGCTTACGGTATGGTCTAATGGCGTTCCAGACGGTGCAGGAGTAAAGGAGGCCTTTAACGAGAAGAGACTCCTGAGAGTTCAAACGCCCACCGAGATGGCCAGAGAGCATAAGAACTCTCTAGTGAAGACTTCATTCACTGATGATGTATACCTTATTGACAGACCTAAGAAATTCACTATGCCTTTCTTTACCCAGTTTGATGGTACGGGAGATCCTTCATGACACGTAGATCACTACGCACAAAAGATGGCTCTGGACGATCACAACGATCTATGGATATGCAAAGTTTTTCCTACTAGTCTAACTAGAGCTGCGTTGGAATGGTTCAGGAATAGGCCACACAAATCTATTCCGGACTATGAAACTCTGTGCACTATGTTCCTGGCGCAGTATTGCAGAAACAAGAAGCAGAAGAAGAGTATTGCTAGCCTCTTCACCATAAGGCAAAAGAAAAGCGAAACATTACAGGATTTCTTGTCCAGATTTAACATGGAGGCTTCGAAAATAGCAGATTGCCATCCTGCTACCGCAATAGAAACGTTCAAGCTTGCAATGATTCAGGGAACCAAGTTCCATACGTCCCTAGTTAAATATTCCCCTCCGGATATGCAAATTCTCAATGCTAGGGCACAGATCTACATCCGACTTGAGGAAAATGTAGCCCACCGAGCGCAACATGCCACCCTCGTCACAGTGGAGAATAAACCTCAGGAAAGGGTTTTAAATTCAAAAAGCCAAAAAAACCAGCACGCTTCAGCACCAATCACTCAGGTACCTGAAAAAAGGCAAAAGACAGAGGAGAGATTCACACCTCTTCGCACAACCTTGGCTCCACTATTTCAAGAAAATAAGATGAGGTTCGCAGCCCCGCAGCCAATGAAGCAACCTTTGAAGCAGAGGGACAAGAACAAGCACTGCGCCTACCATAGAGATTACGGGCATACAACTAATGATTATAGATCCCTTAGGTGGCAAGTGGAAAGCATGATAATGAGAGGTGAATTGGTAGACTACCTCACAACAAAGGAGTACGTGAAGCCCCGGGAGGTTAATCTTTGGAAAGTCGAAGGTAATCAAGTGAAGGTCATCCATGTAATCCATGGAAGATCGGAGGATGATCAAGAGTCAGATGAGGTATATAGATCCAAATTGAGGACAACCCATAAGCTAAGAAGGTTATCCTTAGTAAATATTATTGCTTCAGGTAGTATCAGTATTGGGTTCGGCAATGGAAATCTATCCAGAGTTCAACTCCCCCATGAGGATCCGTTGGTCATCAGTCTCTTAGTGGTGAATTGCATGATCAAGAGGGTTTTGATAGACCCAGGTAGTAGTGCCAATATCATCACAAATGCAGTCTTTGAGTAGCTGGAGATTCTGTCATCATTAATTCGGCCCACCTCCAGTCCCTTGATGGGGTTTGATGGCACAAAGGTGGACCTCTTCGGGGTAATTGACCTATCCATTACCGCAACAAAGAGGACACTGAAGGAGAACTTTGTTCTAACGGAGATCCATCCTTCTTATAATCTTATTATAGGAAGAGGCTGGATCCACCGAATGAACGAGGTTCCATCTACCCTTCATCAAGTGATACGATGCTTGTCTCCGGACGGTAAGGAGGTTATTAATCTTTGGGGAGATCAAGTTGCCGCCAAAGAATGCAACATGTTGACACAGAATGAAGCGAAAAACATGGATAAGCAGTCTCAATCAGTTGTGACTCCTAGGAGTATGTCCAAATAGCAATTACAGAATCCAGTGCCCAAGTACCTGAAAACAGAGGATGAAATTGAAGCTACAAAGCCTATTGAGGAATCCCTCGAGGCTGTCGAAGTAATCCCTGGCAATCCCTAGAACGTAACTTCTATAAGCTCTTTCCCCATAACTGAAGAAAGCAAAGCGTTAATTAATGTCATTCGGCGGAACGTAGATACCTTTGCTTGGGATCATTCGGACATGGTAGGAATCGATTCGTCAATCTTATGTTATAGCCGGAAGGAGGATCCAACGTTCAAACCAGTCAAGCAAAGACATAGAAGGTTCGTTCTTGAGCGCAATCGAATTATTGCTGAAGAAGTAAACAAACTGTTTCAGGCAGGCTTCATCCGAGAGGTACACTATCCACAATGGCTCTCTAATGTGGTGGTAGTACAGAAGAAGAATGGAAAATGGAGGGTGTGTATAGATTTTACCAATCTGAACAGAGCTTGCCCAAAGGACAACTTTCCACAACCCAAAATTAATCAGATGGTCAACACTACCACTGGCTATGAAAGACTCACATTTCTTGATACGTACTCCGGGTATAACCAGATCCCTATGAATCCAGAAGATGAAGAGAAAACTGCCTTCATAACAGAGAAAGGCACTTACTGTTACAGAGTCATGCCTTTCGGACTCAAGAATGCTGGAGCCACTTACCAACGCCTCGTTAACAAGATCTTTGACAAGATGTTGGGAAAGACGATTGAAACCTACATCGATGACATGGTGGTTAAGATTGTAAAGAAGGAGGATCATCCCAAGCACCTCTAAGAAGTCTTTGACACTTTGAGAAAATATAAAATGAAGCTGAACCCTTCGAAGTGCTCTTTTGCAGTTTCTTCAGGGCAGTTCCTCGGCCATATTGTCAACAAGAGGGGAATAGAGGTGAGCCCAGCCCAGGCTCGGGCTCTTATATAGAATCAGGAACCGAAAACTCGCAGGGAAGTGCATGTTTTAACTGGCCGAATCCCAACTCTTAGCCGCTTTATCTCTCGATTGTGAGATAAGTGCAAACTGTTCTTTGATGCGATAAGATCTAAGAACAAGGATATTTGGGGACCTCAACAGCAAGTTGCTCTCAATCAATTGAAGTGTTACATGGCTAAACATCTAATCTTATCTGATCCGAAACCTGGTGAGACTCTTATTATGTATTTAGCAATCTCTGGCATAGCCACAAGTGTCGTGCTGATCAAAGAGGAGGGGAAAAACCAGTATCCAGTTTTCTACACAAGTAAGACAATGACAAATGCTGAGACAAGATACATCAAGGCAGAAAAGATTATACTAGTATTAGTATATGCGAAGAGGAAGCTTCGACACTACTTTGGGTCACATAACATCATAGTTCTCACCAACTATCCCACACGAGCTATTCTTTCCAAGCCAGACTTATCTAGAAGAATAACTAAGCGGGCAATCGAACTTAGTTCCTTCGATATATCTTATGAGCTGAAGGTGTCACACAAAGGACATGCATTAGCTGACTTCCTCCTTGAGTATAAGGATAAGCCCAAAGAGCCAGGTCCTCTCGAACAGTAATGGGAGCTTCGGGTAGATGGCTCCTCGAACCTTGTTAGAGCCGGAGTTGGTATCGTTATCATAACCCCTGAAAGCACCAAGCTGCAACAGTCAATTCGTCTGACTTTTCCTGCTACTAACAACGAAGCCGAGTATGACGCCTTGCTCACCGGACTTCAATTGGCAAACCAACTACAGATAAGGTGTCTAAAGGTTTTTAGTGACTCTCAACTCATTGTGAATCAGGTGACAGGCAAGTATCAACCCAAAAAGGAGAGAATGAAAGCATACAAAGAGGTTGTGGAGAATGTTACACGAGGATTTGATCAAATCGAATTCTATCAAGTATCCCGTGATGAGAATGTTGAAGCAAATCAATTGGTCACAATAGCATCTTCCTCGGATGAGGATTTGGTCCAGATTGTACCAATTGACATCCTAGACGCACCTAGCATAAGCCATCGGCAGGAGGTAATGGTGATCCAAGAAATTCCATGGGAGCCATACTGGATGGATCTGTTGGAAGCTTACTTAAAGCATGGGACTCTTTCGAACCAAAAAGCCGAGGCAAGAAAACTCAGACTTACTGCAACCAGATATTCAATCATAAATAATCAGTTGTATCGAAAGTCATTTTCAGGTCCTTACCTGAAGTGTTTAAGTCCCATTGAGACCCTCATGATTCTGAAACAAATCCATGATGGGGATTGTGGCAACCATTCCGGGGGCAGATCCTTAGCCATAAGGTCCTTACTCAAGGTTATTTCTGGCCATACTTGGCTCGGAATGCCGAAGAATATGCTCAGAGATGCGACAAATGCCAGCGACATGGTCCAATGAAACACCAACCTGCTGAAGACTTACACGCAATGGCGAATCTATGGTCATTCGCACAATGGGGGATTGATATGGTCGATCCTTTACCCAAAACTGTGGAGCAGAAAGAATACGTGTTGCTAGCTATGGATTATTTCACAAAATAAGTGGAGGCAGAGGCTTATTCAAGTGTGACCCACGAGCAAGTAAAGAGTTTTCTATGGAACAACATAATCTACCGGTTCGGAGTACCAAAGGTTATCATGATGGATAATGGTCCGAACTTGGACAACAGAAGCACAAGAAAATTCTTTACCGAGCATGGGAATAGGCAGAAATTGGTCGCAGTTAGCCATCCGTAGGGGAACAGGTAAGCTGAAATAACTAACTGAACCATTTTCAGCTGCGTAAAGAAAAAGTTGGAGAAGCTCAAGTCAAAGTGGTACGAGAATCTGCCTCAAGTACTATGGGCATATCGAACCACCCCGCGAAGGCCGACGGGCGAAAGCCCCTTTACCATGGCCTATGGGTCTGAAGTTGTCATCCCCACGGAGTCAGCAGTTCCTACTCTTCGGTCCCAGTTGGTACTCGAAGGGAACAATGATCAGCAGCTTGAACATAGCCTCGATCTCTTGGAAGAAAAAAGGGATGATGTAGCAATTAGACTCGCTTCATACCAACAACAGTTGCGTAACAGTTACAATAAGCGAGTCAAGTTCAGAAGTTTTGTGGAAGGTGATTGGGTGTTGAAGCAAGAGACTGCCCATATTAAAAAGTTACAACCCAATTGGACTGGACCTTACAGAGTCACATAAGTGGTAGGGAAAGGAGCTTACCGGTTGGCTGAAGCTGATGGGCTTCCAATTGCACGTCCATGGAATGCAATACACCTAAAAAAGTACTATGTAATACCCCTAAATTTTCAAAGGATATTTCTGGAATTAAATTTATTATTTGATTGCATTTTACTTGATTATGTGTCATTTTATTGGATTATCTGTTTAATTTAAATTATATTGTGGTGCTTTAGGTGATTATTATTTAATTTAAATTATTTGTTTAATTTGAATTATTTGGTTATTTGAATTAATTATTTTATTTGAATTATTGGTATTTTTACATCTGTTATATTATTTAGTTGTGATATTTGATTTAATGGTGGTTTATTTTGTCTATCGTAACTTAGGGAATACAGTTATAACTTTGGCTTATAATTCACGTATAGTTTCATGGGGCGACTAGGTTTGGACTTAGGGCTTAGCCTCTAATTGCACATGAACTAGGGTTATGGTTTTCACCTATAAATATATGCCATACTGTGGTCTAGGGTTTTAGAAAAATAAACGTAAATTCTGTAGAACAGAGATACAGAGAGGTACTGAGAGAAACAGAGGAAGATAAAGAGAGGAGGGCTAGGTTTTGGTCTATACCAAGGTTGGACCAAGAAGGAGGAAGGAGAGGTTGTTCGTGGGTGAAACCAAGAGTAACGAAGGTGGAACAACAGTCGGGAATCTCGTCGAAAAATTCAAAGACGATAGTTTAGAGTTTCAAACTGAAACTCAAAAGTAAGTTTCTGTTATATTCTTTCCCATAAATCTGTGTTTTGTGCATGTTTAGATGAACTCTAGGAGTTTAATGAATACTTAAACAATATTTTATGTATGCTTGACTGATAATTAATCTCGTTGAATGAAACTGATATACAAAATTCTGTAAGTCTTTATTAGTTGTTTCTTTTTCTGTTTATGCGTTTAAGCTTTACTCTTTGAGATTAATGAGGCATATGGATGCCTTGTAAATAGTCTGGAATGTTAATTGAATGTTAGAATAAGAATTTAATACAGTACAGAGGGCTGGAAACTCACCGGAGTCGAAGAAGACAAAGGGAAAACGGACAACGACTGCTAAATGAGGGAGATCAGGCTCCCAAAACCCTTAGAGCCGGCTCCCAAAGAGTTGGAGCCGGCTCTAAGTGATTTAGAGCAGGCTCTAAGTGAATTAGAGCCGGCTCTAAGTGGTTTTGAGCAGGTTCTAAATTTTTAAAGAGCCTGCTCTCTCCTTATACGTTACAGAATTGATTTTAGGGGCTTGTTTGGGCTACACAGGGTGTTTGCACTTCATTTAAACTGTGTTAAGTGGTGCTTAGGACTGTATTAGACTGGTATTGTGATGGAAAAATATAAATTCATAATTGAATTAAAGAATAGAGCAAGAAAAACCCAAGAGAAAATTGGTAACTTGCACACTGTCTTGTTAGTTTTATT